AGTTCGTCACTTAGTATGCTTGAGGCTATTACGAGTTACCTTAGTCGATAAACGCGAACGAGACTTTTACCAGCTTCCAGGGAGGCTACCTTGAATCCAACGGTAAAACAGAAGTCTTGGTAAGCGTAGAAGTATATTCTACAAACACCCAGCAATCACACAACAACCAAGCACACAACTCTCGCTTATTTATACAACATAAAAACGTCCTTGAGACAGTTAAGAAAATGGCATACTAAAATACACAGCAGCCAATCACAGCCATGGATTGTCGTGGTGGGAAATGAAATCTGAAGGTCAACTGATCAGCCCATGCTGGCGAGCCAGGAGGGCTGAGTTTTCGAGCATCCATCAGTTCGGTCGATGCGACTGAGATCCACGGCTTTTCCCTAACCTTATGGTTTACCATACTGGCAGAAATCACTGTTGATTCCACAGCTTTTCGAATGTCGTTTAGAACTGCCTTGGGGTGGGCATCACTTACTACATGGCTTTCTAACTGTTTTTTATTAGGGCCTCAAACAAATACATGCTTGCGCTAGAGCATGGTCTGATTGGCAGCAGTCTTCAATAGAGCTTTTCCTTCGATGGCTTATAAAGATGTGATTCAGTTGTGTCCATCCTTGGGTCAGCTTTGTAAGTCGCCAGGTCAAAGTATGTTTTTCTTTGTGCCTAATGTTAGTATTTGCTATAAACAGACGGTTATCTGCGCGTATCTGTTCAATCAGTCGCAACACCACAAGATCCACCCCGATGTTTTTCCTTCTCACTCAGTCTACCTACTTGAGTATTGAAGTCAGCAGCCATTTACTATATCAGTGCGCTAAACGTTTTGGAGGTGGCCTGAAAGTTTTCTGCAGAGCTCATTTTTTATGTCTTCGAAACTACAGTCAGTGGGGGCTTAGGCGAATTCTGCGAAGAATCAACAGCGAGCTTTCCGTATTTTAATGAGTACGTACCGTCCCGTTTAGCTGGATAGCTAACAAGCACTGTCTACCGGGATCCAGTCTATGAGAGCTAGTTCAGCCCTACGACTTCATACTATAACTACGCCACCGACGCTACGGGAAGCAGCATTTGGGCTACCAGAAACACGAAGCGTGAATTGTGTTGCTTTTTTATCTACTGTAGGTGAAATATAATTGGTGATTTTACTAGGATCTTGTATGCGTGTTTCGGAGATGCATTACACATCGACCGCATGGGATTCTAGAGTTCTAAATAGTGAATCATGTTGCCTTATTTAGCATAGCATTAAAAGCTCCAATATGTAATTTAGCACGGGGGTTCAGCAGACCAGGGATAATGTTTCGTGAGCTCAAACCGTTCGCTTCATCGGCGCCAGGTGACAAACGATCGAAGGAAGAGTTAGTCGAGGATATAAGAGAGTTATTAGGTGTAGAAAGGGTTTGGTTCTGACCGATTTAGTCTCGTGTGATTTAATGGGTATGAGGGAAAATGTTACATCACGACTGCTCACACAGTTGAAGGGTTCTGGTTGTCAGGAGGGGCAATGGCATCGTGACTTTCGAAAGAAATTGGCTTCCATCATGAGACGTCGTAAATCTTCTAAATTAAGATATACTAACTTCCATAGTAGGATTTATATGGTCCGAATTATTTTTTATTGTTACAGTTTTTGTGGCAAGTTAGTTCTTTCCGGGATGGAGTCACAAACCCACCTCTCAACCTTCCTTTTTTTCAGGCCTTTGGACCGGCGATAGCCCAAAAGGGTCTGCAGGTGAAGTAGCTGATTTGAATGCTACTGGTATCCATGAGCCTTATCGTTTGTGTTCAGCGTCATATATATTTGTATATACATATAGGTCAAGAATCTTCAAGTTAGCCAAACCCAGTTTCGCTTCCGAATTCTCTCTTTATTTTATTCATTGTTGTGTAATAATATTCTTAATAAATCTAAGCGCATTTCGTATGCCTGCTGTGTCATTTTCTCATTTGATATCCATAAGGTACACTGCTCTGAACGAACACATACGACATACTAGTTTATAAAGCACTGCTAATAGACTAGAACTAGTATAGTCGAGTGCTTAGGCTATCATCCATTGCACAATACCGAGAACCTCTAATTGCACCAAAACAACAAGAATCAATTGGAAGAAATCGATTGGTGGATATTAGATCGTGTAAATGATACTGTGTATTGTTTTAACTTTTGGCCTTTGGTATCCAGAAACCCTACTTCCATGAAACAAACGTTTTCATTCCAATCCCGAGACATACAAACTCACAACCAACTGCCGACTGACTAGAATTAGACAGTCGAGTGGCTAGATCACCATTCATTGAAAACTACCGAACACCTGGAACTGTACCGAAAGAACAAGAATCGAGCGCAAATATATTCAATTAGTTTACATTAGCTCGTGAAAAAGATATTGGATATTGGCAGCCATTCAAGGTTGATCTGACAAAAGAGCGGGTTGCCTTGACCAGAAGTGACACAACGTGCGAAGATTTACCTAACCAATCTCTTCTTATAGTTATCACTCTTTCTTGACCTCATGCTTGTATCACATCTGATTGTTGTTATTTTATTTCTCTATTGAATGTAAGTGCATTCTATCTGGTTGCTGGGTTCTAGGCTCACTTTTTCTCTAACATCGACTGTACACAGTGCTCCTCACACTCCCTCAGCCCATAAGGTACCTTCTACCTAATCACAAACTAACCAAAGGCTAAAGTCACGCTTACATTTTTCTGTGTCGGCCTGTAGCAATCAACTGCTTTCAGATAAATTATTACAATTTTCTGGTTACGATATCATTAGATGTATCGATTGCTTCTCTCACCAAGAAGGATATCATGCGCTGAGCTTACTGAGTTATCAGCCCACTTTTATTGCTCAGGTTTATTCAGGCTAGACCCAAACCGTTACATGTATTGATTTTAGTTTGTCCATATTTTGAGTTCTAGTGGGAAGACGTGACCAGTGAACTTCAACCTGTTTGGGTGTAGGCAGTGTCTACCGAAGACTTTGTATGAGGTTGCGCAACTCCGTGAATTTGATCAAGTTAGATATTAACACTGTTAGATACCGGCTCAGTGGTCTAACAGTTAGGGCGTTCGCGCACAATACCGAAGGTCCTGGGTTCGAATCCTGCGGGATGCAGGAGTCGATTATAGCAATAGGAATTGGTTTTTAGTTCAGTTTAAAGTCGCTTTTCTCTCCTATTATGTGGGGAGCATTAGGTGTTTCGCCTTAATGTGTAACGAGGTGAAAGTCTGTCATTCAACAGCTTGCTAATTGCCAGATTGTCTACTTTTCGCCTTAACCGGTTAGTCAACATTTATGGTCAGTAGTTAAAGTATCGAAAATGTAAGGCTGGATATAATTCAAAGGCAAAGAAATTCTCTTGATTCATGTTATTGGTCACCAGTAATCCCTTTTATTAATGTTGACTAGTTGTAGTATAGTCTTTGTTATCTCCACTCCGTGGCATTTTGCTTAACATGATGAAAAATCATTAAGACTTACGTCCTTTGTATTCCCCAGATTTAACAAAATAGGCTTAACTATCTGGTTTTCGGTTTCTTAAGTCACTTATCATTCAGCTTGCCTATTTGTATTTCACAACTTGTTCATTTTTCGTGCTTATTTTACATGTCCTAATTCTGTGTTGATTTTTTTGTGGTTCTTCATCTTATGCATAGTTTTAATTTTCCTCCACTTTTGCGAAATTATTGTTTCGGCACTAGAATGTCAGGTAATTTGTTTTTTATCATCTACAAAACGTTCTAGTTTTCTCAAATAGATTGAAAAAAGTGTTAAAATACAAATTGGTCGTAGGAACATCTTGTGCATTATGTGGATATGTTGGGTTTTTACTGCTCACTGATAATGAGTATATACCCGAATACTATCCTCGTCATTTGACTGTAAGTGGATTTTTATGAAGGGCATATTAATAAAGTGATTGCCATTCATTTCTTCTTTGCTGATATCTGTTTAGATCTTTACTTAAACAGCCACTTTCACCTAGAAGTCTATGTTCATTTTAAACACAGTAGATACTGAAATTCTAGTTTGTAACCTCACTCCTTTCATTCTCCCCTTTACACCAGTGTAAGGAAATAACCATTGTCGTTAAATTTTACACAAGAATCCAGCTTCACTGGCCTAAATTTGGTTACTAGACCTCAGTTTCAGTTTGAGGCGGACAACGTGCTTAATGGCCTGTTTTCGTCATGGTATGGTAAAAGATAAATATGAGGGTTTGTTAGGTCAGTCAGTCAATTACAACGTAGAACTTCGTACGTACGTACGTCAGTTCAGGTTGCCATACCGCATTAACACAGAGACGCCACTGTCAGTTCAAATCCCGTAGTGGTGGCGATGGTAAAAGAATTACTGGTAATAGAGAATATTAGGGATCGAAGATATTATTCAAGAAGTATAGTTCAGTGAGATAATTTTAGAAAGAGAAAGATAGAGATGATGAGGAATTCTGAAGATTAGGATTTGAGAGATCACAAAGAGTGGATGCACCTGCGCCATTGCAAACGATGTTGAGCCATGTCGTTCAAGGTCTCTAACCATCGGTTAGTATCGTCTCGCGGACCCCAACCAGGTAGCCTACATCTACCAGCATGACTCAGTCCACTTGTCAATGACTTCATGGATTTGTGCCATGTTTTGGTTTGACTGCCCCCCACTTTCTTCCAAACTACTAATCCACAGTGAATAGCTCATCGAGGCAGTCAGTGGTCAGACATACACAACACATGTCCCAACCACCTCAACTGATGAAGTTTCACTAATTCATCTATTGACCTGCCATCTTTACCTAGCACCGGTTTCCTAATAACAGCATTGCTCACTTGGTTATCCCAGGATACACGAGCAATGCTTCGGAGACACCTATGATCAGAAACCAGTAACCTACGAATATCTTCTACTCTCACTGGCCATGTTTCACCACTCTAAAGTAGAACGGAGCGAACTACTGCACAGTACACCCGTCCTTTAGTCAGCAAACGGATACCTCGCCTGCGCCATAAGTGACGCAGGTTGGCAAAAGCCAGTCGAGCTTTCTGTATCCGTGCTGAGGTTTCGTCAGTCACCAGGTCATCGGCACTGATGAGACTCGAGATAAGTGAAGTGGTGAACACGCTCAACTGCTTCACTCCCAATCAATAGTTCAGGTACCAATGAAACCCAATCTTGAAGCAACATTTCGAGGGGGGAAAACCGCATCTCGAACTTGCTTTCATTGTTGCTCAGGGTAGTCAGGATTCACTGGATTTTGTAAGCGTCTGCAACAACTAGGAGTATGTCATCGGCATATTCTAGATCAACAAGCGATTCTCTTGTTAGTAGGTCTGATCCTGAAAATCCAGAGGAAGATAATGTTATATCTAGAAGCATGTCTATGACAAAATTGAACAGGAATGGGGAACGTGGGCATTCCTGACGGATACCACTTGAAGTAAAGAATTCCGATGACAGTTCGCCCTAAACTCTAACTCGACCTGTAGTAGAGCTGGTAATTGAATTATAAAATGTCTTTAAGGATTGTAATCATTGTTAGATTGTTAAGCATTTAAAACTTTGTAAATATTTTGAACAAGTGAGTATCGTCCTAACATTATGCGTTGTGAAACCTAAGATACTCCGTTTTTTTACATTATTATTGCACTTGATACGGAAGTTTACGATTTAGAAAACTCGATATATTTCATTTGCACGAGCTGGCTAGATGATATCACTTTATCAGGTCTTGAAGTCCTACTTGAAAGCTAAATTAAACTGTTTTCTCCCTAATTTTACAATTCGTCTAGTTGCAGTTGCTGTTCTTCTTACCAATGATTCACTAGTTTCGGTGTTTAAAATTATATAACTGTTAGCACATTTTATTCATTGAAAAATATTTTTAAGGTTAAGGATACAAAACACGAATCTACCTTACCTTGTTAACCTCATAGTAGTCGTGTACATGAAGGTTTCCTTGATTATTAGTGAGTTATATCCTACATGGGATGTTAATCTTTATTTATCTAGACTAAAACGTTCAGCATTATTTGAACAAGCGTAGGAACGAAAAGAGTAAGAACAGAACAGATTTTTTTCTTATCAACTTTCAGGTCACTAATAAGAGTTGATCAGCTAGTTTCTGTTAATGTAATTCTGCTCCCTGAATGTATTTACCATTTAATCGTTTTTCCTTTTATTGAACCTAACTCAGTTACTGGGTGTCAGGTAATATCAGTTGTAACATTATTTTTTCATGTTCTGATTTTCATTTGGATCGTATAGTGTGGGAGCATATGTTTTCAGCATAAATATTCAGTTATTGTTAGGATTTTATCCTGCAGCTGGATGTTGTTACAGTTATTATACAGATTTCTCTAGGTCTAAGCGTTAATGAATACTTTAATGCAAAAATCAGTATAAGATTTGCTTAGTTTATCAACAGATCACTTTTAGCACCGATTATTGTTCAGCCTACTATTGCAAAAGCCTGTTCAGAAACAAGAATTGTACTTCTATGTAGTTTTGATAACTGTTTGTTTTTGTTCTTCACCCTGGTTTTTTGACATTTCTGTAAGCATTTCGCCTTCCTAGCTGCTACACACAAGCTGATTTAAAGTGTAGCTGAAAAGGTAGTTTGGAGAAGATAGGTGATGTTATGGGAAAATATCGGTTCGAACAGTCATAATTTATATCCAGCATCTATGCTATTAAGATCCATCTTAAGTCGTCTTAATTCACGGAATCTTCATGTATAAACATTAGTTATGGCGACTTTTTCGTTATCATGTTCTGCTTACCAGCCTTTCACTATTCTTATCTGCTTATTTGTAGGCTGCACTTTTTCGGCACATCCCGCTAAACAGTCTGTCTAAATCGTGGGGTCGATTGGCTGAATGTTACATCCCAGTATTCTTAAGACCTATAATCTACCGTTCCTATTCACAGTTTTTCCATTGTGATTTAAGCGAAGTTGAAAATCCTGACTTGAAGAGTTATAATTGTCTATCAGATTTTTTTATTCGAAAGATTGCCACAGATAAACGACCTATTTATCATTCAGCATCATTAGTAAGTAATCGATTTCATCAGCTGGTTGTCCATTTTATATATATATATATATATATATATATATATATATATATATATATATATATATATATATATATATATATATATAGTCCGATTCAGTCACATTGAACACTATAGATATATAAGACAAAAAAAACCAAGACTATGAAGACCTTTATTGGCAAATGTAGAAGGGCAATTTTCATAGCCTGTTCATATTTCTGGGCCTCCAAGAACATGTGAGCAGTTATACTAATTCAATTAATAATTCACTTACTGATAATATCCCACTCATCGATCTCACTATTCAGCTGTAAGGTGTGTTTAGCTTTGCAAATTATAACGTGGTTTTATATGAATACATTGAAATCCTTTCTACTTGTAACAACTATTCGGACTTACATGGTAACTGTTTCTAGGAATCCGACTGTTATCAAAACTGTCTCGGAAAAGGACCGGACTATTATTCATTCTCAATCCAGGAGATCGGATCGATGAGTAGAACACTAGGGATCAATTCAACTGGCCTTCAGCATCACTTCGGTTGCCCATGGTCTCCAGTCAGCCTGAATGGCAAATCGATGTAAGTCCTCCGACTATTTATGAAGTTGAGAAAGGTATAGGAAATCTGAAGCGAGGGAGAGCACCGAGTCCTGATAGGCTAACCTCTGAGGTTTCTAAGGATTTTGTTCCAGTTTAGCAGTTAGATTGACTGAAATCTTAGGTGAAATCCGGGAAGTGGACGCAATCCGATCTGACTGGTCTCAACCACTGGTTATCCTAGTCTGTAATAGAGGACAAAAGTTCTCTTGTGACAATCACAGGGGAGTCAATTTAACTAATATAGCGTCTAAAATACATTGATAAATATAATAAATAATATACTTTTTAGGAGTTGACATTCTACCACTAACTCGCTGATGGCATAGTTCTATTTGGTGAAGACGCTGACAAAATGCAGTCTTCTGATCACCTTAAGCAACAATGCAAGCATGTTCGGGATGAGGTTCATCCCATCGAAATGCAAAATGTTGATTCAGGATTGGGTTGCATCGGCACTTGAACTAGTAACAGGGAGTGAAGTAATTGAGCAAGTTGACTGCTTTACTTAGCAGTGCTGATGGGCTGCTGACTGCCGAGATCACAGCACGGATAGAGAGGGCTCGATTGACTTTAGCCAACTTACATCACTTATGGCGTGGGCGACATATCGGTCTGCTAACGAAAGGACTAGTGTACTGTGCAGCAGTTCGCTCCTCCCTAATGTATAGGTACAAAACGTCGCCGGTACAAGCAGAGGATATTCGCATGTTGCTGGAACTATCGAGTTAGCAATGCTGTTGTTGGATCAGCGGATAAAGTTGTGAATCTTTATCAGTTGAGGCTGTTGAGACGTGTTACGAATCCCCAACCACCGACTGCCTAGAAGAGCGATTATACCTGGTGTAGGAGTACGTTGGGAGTAAGCTAGGGGTGGCTTAACCAAAACATGGCACAAATCCATGCAGTCCCTGGCAACTGGGTTGAGTCATGGTGAGTGTAGACTACCGGGTTGGGGTTCGCGAGACGATACTAACCGATGGTTAGAAACCTTGAACGACATGGCTCAAAATCGTTTGCGATGACGGACGTGTATCCATTCTGTGTCTTCTCTCACGACCTTATGAATTCAGGACCTTGTTTCTCCTTAAAAATTTATTTCACTGGATCATACTTCTTGAATGATTTCTTCGAACCCCTACTACCTCCACTCAGTCAGATGCAACGTAGAACTTCGTACGTAAGTACATCAGTTCATGTTGCCATACCACATCAGCACAGAGATATAATTGTCGATACAAATCCAATGGAAGAAGAGGTAGTAAAGGGATTAGAAGTAATCGGAGAGGTTAGGATTAGAAGATATTATTCAAGAAGTATGATTCAGTGAGAAAAGTTTAGAAAGTCAAAACTAGAGGGGTTGAAGAATACAAAAGATTAGGATTTGAGAGAACGCAAAGAATAAATGCACCGGCGCCATCTCAAACTGTTTTGAGCCATGTCATTCAGGGTCTCTAACCAACTATTATTATCATCTCGCGGAACCCAACAAGGTAGTCGACAAGTACCAACATGGCTAAGTCCACTTGTCAATGACTTCATGGATTTCTGCCATGTTTTGGTTTGGCAGCCCCTAGCTTCCTTCCAACCTACTACAAAACAAAGCTCGTGGAGGCAGTCGGTGGTTAGGCATAGACAGCACATGTTCTAACCACCTCTACTATTATGAGACTTGCATTGACAGTTTGATCTGTGTGTGTTAATGTGCTTTGGCAACTTTAATTAGTCAGCACACGTACAAATTTCTACGTTATAGCTGTCTGGCCAGCCGACATGTGTCTTCGATTAGTGCCTTTTTAAGTACTTTCATATAGTTCGAACAATGTTGAGTTTAGTTGCTAAGTAAATTACATTTTGAAATGCCAGGATTCGAAAATAGTTGGTTGTTGCATCATTGTGATTATCCTAATATGCATAAATATTCAAATTGTCATCATATCAGATTGTATTTTCATAGTTGAAATAACGAATTGATCTTACGTATACCACCATGAGGAACCTTCAAGCACTAGAGAGTCGTTTCATCCTGGTATCGGATCTACCAGCAGTGTGTATCTAGAGTCCCCATGTACGGGATTCGAACCCAGGACTCTTGACTTCGCGCAAAATTATAAATTGATCGAAGTTGGACGTTAACACCATTGGATGCCAACTCAATGGTGTAGTGGTTAAACGTTTGTGCGCTCCTTGGTTTGGTCCCTAGGTGATTTTTGTAATTGTTTTTAGGTATCATAAGACTTTTGCATAATCAATAAACATTATGTTCTTTTAGATCTCATAATGAGGGTCATTTGTTGCAGCCTAAGTTAATCTTTGCTAACACCTGTAATTTAAACGCTCGTGTAATTTCTGATAAAGGTTTCATTCTTAAACTTTCATAGTTCCAACCATGTTTGAAATTTGGTCGATAGAATTCTATCACTGGTGAAATTTAGATGAAATGATTTTGATCATTTTCTTGTGGTTAGCAGGTTGGTCGATTTTCATCGTAATAATTACAATATGCAAATACATGGTCAATCGATAGTTGTTTAGGAATGCTTTGAAGATTACTGAAAATATAGATTTCTCATTTTTTAAAGTAGGTTAGTCCTGTGGATGGTAAAGTACTTCATTGTGGTCCAATTGATTCAAAAAATGCTGTTTTAGAGCAAATTAAAGGGATTTACTATTCGTTAGATGAATTTCTCGGTCCAATGGGTAACATAGAAAGTCTAACTGGGAAAACATCTGATCGTTCTCTTTACCAGTGTGTTATTTATTTGGCTCCAGGAGATTACCATCGATTTCATAGTCCTGTTGAATGGATTCCTACTGTCAGACGGCATTTTCCAGGTATGTTGTGCATATAAATATTAGTAAGTTCATTTTCCCTAAGATTATTTCCTCATTATTCTCCCTCTATTAAGTGGAGTATCATCTGAACTTAGAGTTGTTGGTGTCTGCCTCATTAGTCTGATGATAAAATTCGGCTGAAAATTTCAAATAGCTCAACTGAACTTAAAAAAGTAGACGTTATTGAGAATGACATTATACTGAAAATGATGCTTAAACTCTTTAATGCTTATGGGTTTCGTTACTGACTAACACACTCATAAGTGTATTTGTGCTCAAAATAAATATAAATTGTCATGTGATTCACATATCAAGTACTAGTTTATGCACTCGACTTCGAGGTACATGTTTTGTTATGGGGACTAGTGATACAATTCCAAACAAGGTATATGGCTCAAACCCACAATTAGTTAATCAGAAGTCATATTTTTAGACCACTAAAGAGCCACCTCAAGTTGCTTATCCATTGTTTGGAAGATATTCAGAAAACATAGTTTCAGAATGATTCACCTCACTTTCTCCTTACACTTGCCACACGGGACAAGTAAAAAAATTCGTTAGGATGACATTATTTCCAAGTATCTGGGAAAGTAACGGAAACATCGAATATAGTATGGTCACCTGAATTCGTGTATGTAGTACGAAGTTCAACGTTGTAGCTGACTGAAGAAGGCGGTTTCAATCCATCATCAGCTATTTTTGATTTAGGTGGTATACTTGGTGGAATTCTTGCTAGTTTCATATCGGACAGTACTGGATCAAGTGCTATTATATGTGTAGTAATGATTGCTTTGTCAAAACCGACATTGTATTTGTATTCCATTTTGGGTTTCGTTCTTTAGCACATTGTATTGGTTTATTAATCCGATTGGGTTTGCTTGTGAATGGTCCTTATGGTTTAATTTCAATGGCAGTTTCAGCTGATTTAGACACATCCTTCATTGTCTACTAATTCTCGTGCATTAGCTACAGTGACGGGTATCATTGATGGCAGTGGTTCCATTGGTGCTGCACTTGGACCTTTACTATGAGGTCTCAAAACCATATGGATGGTCTGTCGTTATTATTCTGCTTATGGTTGCGATATCCTTAGCTGCAATTTTGCTTTTCCGAATGGTAGCCAATGAAAGTCGTCAATGTTGCTTCAATAATGAACAACCCCTATCACCATCATCTTCATCATCTCCGTCGAATACACTTGATACCTAAACTTTAAAGAATCACTACTCACAATTTTATAATCCTAAGCAGAAATTACCAAAAGGTTGAATCGTCCTGTTCTATTAGAACCATAAAAAAATCATTGAATTTTCCTGCTGGTTGGTTACTACTGATTTTTGCAAACGGGACGATAGAAAAATGTCAATGGAAACACACTCATCCACTGCTGTCTTTTCTTTCTTCCTTCCTATAGACAAACTTGATACTTTTATTTTTGTCATTCATACCAAACACCATTGCCAATTCCAGTAGTTGTTTCGACTCAGTAGAGTCAAATGTAAAACGCGATGGTGTTTGAAGCGAACGCTACTACGTTCGAATGTCACAGTGGACATTTACTCTGAGAGGCAGTTACATCATCCAGCTGAGTCGTCCCGAATATAACAAAACGCGCATTCCTGATTCCACAACTGCTATCCAACTCTGCTTATATATCACAGTTTATACAGTCTATTGGTAACATTTCCGTCATGGTAATGAAAGAATCCCTGATGGTGAACTAATGAGGAAACGTGATTTTTTGAGAGAAGGCCAAGTTAATCATTTATAGTCAACAATTATCTGTCTACCGTAGTTACTCTCGAAATCTCACATTGTTAGTGTGTATGGCTCGTATATGGATTTAGGAAAAAAACCTGACATTAATTGTTTGACACCCACTCATTGTGCTTTGACAAAAACCAAAAAATCTATTAAATATTTTTTGTTGAATTTATTCCCTGTTAAATAGTAGTAGTCATTGTTTGATACATTTTCAGTTTGACATACCAACAAATGTAAAAATGTAACACAATGAAAGGTACTTATGTACTGTTTTGGCTAGCATTCAGATTTGTTGAATCTGTTTTAGCATTCCTTCCAATAGAGATTGCAAGTAAAATGTGAAATTAAAATTGCCGCTAAGTTGTTTAGATATACCAGGACGAAACGGCCGTCCAGTGCTTCCAGGTTTCTAATGCTGATTGATGATTTCAAATAAATTCATTGTTTTCTTTCTATCATATTATTATTATTATTATTATTATTATTATTATTATTATTATTATTATTATTATTATTATTATTATTATTATAAGGTACATTGTTCTATTGATTCTTCTACAATTGCATTTTTGATTACAAGGTAGATTACTTTCAGTACGTCCAAATATCGCTGGACGTTTACCAGGTCTTTATACTATCAACGAACGTGTAGTTTATTTGGGAGAATGGAATTATGGATTAATGTCATTCGCAGCAGTTGGTGCATTCGGTGTTGGTAACATACACGTAAATATCGACCCAACACTAATTACAAACAAGAAAGAGGATAATGCATTGCGTTTTCGTTCTTCAAACACGCCAACAATAATAAATGAAGAATATAAACCACCATACTTTGAAGCAATATTTGATAATGAAATGAAGCTTAAGAAAGGTGATGAATTGGGGTGTTTTCGTCTCGGATCCACAGTTGTTTTGATTTTTGAAGCTCCTTCAAATAAGTTCAAATGGTGTGTAAAATCAGGTCAACGAGTTAAATTTGGCGAACCAGTTATAATGGATTACTAGTTTTTGTATTTAACACCGTAGGTGTTATCAATCTTTGTACATTAATCTATAGCACTTGATGTTTATGTAAATGGATAATTGCATTATGATAAAATGCAAATACAAACAATCATATCTTTATGCTCGTATGTTAAAGTAGCGGGATATCTAGTAATCGAAATATAATCCATATGTAGTTTACAAATCGAGTGTGATGAAGTGTCGATCGGAATTCTATCTCTAGATTTGCTTCTTTTCATTCAGTAGCAACGTATAAACCGGTACGTATGTACCAATACTGTTATGATAGTATAGGCCACTGAAGATGCGATTCAAGCAAATATACTATAATGGATAAAAGGGTTATGAGGAATTTAGAAACTCAATATCTAAAATCGAAAAATTATGGGGAACTTGGAATTAACATTTATGTTATGTGCCATTCATTGAATATTCAGACATTTTGCTGTTTTCATCTTATTTGTAATTATTGTCATAATTCACAGCAGCAATCCAAGTAGTCACTGAGAAGTTCCAAACCACAAGTGATTCATCTCAGTCAGATGAATATCTATTCATTATTGGAAATTTAAGTAAGTAAAGGTACACGCAAAATTCAGGGATTTTATATGTTCATGAATACAGGAATACATGCAGTTTTTTAATTGAATAAACAGTCTAGTCTTCATAACTCATTCACGCTTCCATCTGACTTATCACGTTTGATATATATGTAGATTTAAAAGATCATAATTAAGTTTTTCTGACAGTTCAGTCGATTTTTCTAACCTGAACATCGTAAATCTATCTGAATATGATGTGAAGGAGAGGTAACGAAGTTGGATTTTACATCTAAATTTTATATCAAACCAATGCTCTTCAGGTTTTTTTGGTGGAACTCTTCGTTTCACTTCCAAATAACAGTAGTTTCCGAATCGTAAATGCCTCGTGTTGAAGGTGACTGAAAGCATGAAAACCTAGCCTCTTTCGGGGAAGAAACGCCTACTTGATTGATTTTCTCTTTGAATAACAAGCGTATCCACAAATGTCGGTTGGTTAATTACCTGGTAACAACAGTTAGAATCACTATTTTGAGGTACATTAATTCTTCTTAATCTTGTAAAAATCATCCTGCTTAAAATATAGTCATAATGTCACCACATGTTATCACTGGGTTGGGTAAAATGAATGTACTTACTTATGCATCGTAAAACCATTTACCATACTGTTATTGATTGGAACTGACTCTTCCCCACACACTAGGAGATTCTGGTGTACCACATACTCACATCTTTTTTCCATCAATCTATGTTTAGGATTAATAATAATTTCAAACCTTTATAAAATAATAATTCCTCATAAACTAGTCCATTAATTTACTTTCTATACAAAGTTGGCTGAATCTGTAAGGTATTTTGTGATTCGAGACCTGACTCCGATTTCGATGAACGAATGAATATGACATGAGTACAAATCTTCCGCTTAATTCCGTATATCGCACCTTGGCTAACCCTGTTCGAACGACGACCGTATTAAGAAGCCAAATACAGATTAGGTTGGATCAATTCACGATGAGCTATTCACTGTGGATTAGTAGTTTGGAAGAAAGTGGGGGGCAGTCAAACCAAAACATGGCACAAATCCATGAAGTCACTGACAAGTGGACTGAGTCATGCTGGTAGATGTAGGCTACCTGGTTGGGGTCCGCGAGACGATACTAACCGATGGTTAGAGACCTTGAACGATATGGCTCAAAATCGTTTGCAATGGCGCAGGTGCATCCACTCTTTGTGATCTCTCAAATCCTAATCTTCAGAATTCCTCATCATCTCTATCTTTCTCTTTCTAAAATTATCTCACTGAACTATACTTCTTGAATAATGTCTTTGATCTCTTAGATTACTTCTAATACTTTTACTACCTCTACTAATATGGATTTGAATTGACAATTATATCTCTATGCTAATGTGGTATGGCAACTTGAACTGCTGTACTTACGTACTAAGTTCTACGTTGTAACTGACTGACGGAGCGAGAGCATTATTTTCTTCTATTTGCTTACACACGTCATTTTGGTTTTTCACACCTTCAAGTATAGCGTAGATTAGGTACAGGATGCTGAAGTCCTTAGGCATGCAATATACCCGTTTTAGTTTACGTAGTTTAGCCCCAGCTTTATGGTTGATATAAGAATTAACTGTTCTAAAAGACGTTTTACGTGGGATGGTAATGTCTAGAGCAGATTTGATGGTGACATTGAATATATGTAATACATCGGGGAGAATGTTGTGGTTCCTAGTAGGCAGATGCTCATGTTGTTGCCAACCATGTGTGTCTAAGGGACTAAGTATGCTATCAAAGCGTAGTGGACCGGAATGTGTCTGCTAGTTGGTTCCTGGGAGGTTAAAGTCACCACAAATAATTTTGCAGGTGAATTTAAGAGAGACAGCCCTGGCAAACGGCTCACCATTAGCAACGTCAACCGATCGATGAGTATTTGGAACTCGATATATGCACCCAACCAGTATTTTACATTCATGGGCGTGCACAGTGGACCATATCGAATCAGGCACTTTATTAAGAACAGTTTCACTGGGCATTTCTGTTTTTATATTTCTAGACACACAGATGAGGCAACTACCACCCATTTTTGATCCACGGTCACCGCGAAAGAGTCTATTAGAGGGTATGAGTCAGGGACATCCGAGGACAAGCAGCTTTTAGTAATCAGGAATATGGAAGGATTGTTTAGAATTGCCAGATAGCGTAAGTGGGTCATCTTATTGATAACAAGTCGGGAATTAATTAGCATTAGTGTTACAAAGGTTGAATACTCATCTTTCAGGGGAGCACGATGGGTATCTGGAGGGTTGTATATTGTGTTTTCTGAAGAACTAGAAGTAGGAATATGGGCCCGATAGTTATGGTCAGTTGATTTGTGAGCAATATAGTGATAGGGAGATAGGTATTCTGCGACTGGTGTGGTTAGAGAAGCATATGAAGTAGGATATGATAAATGTCGTTTGGCAGAGTTAACTGATGACCCCCAAAGAACTGATGATGAAGTCGCTAGAGAGCATAAGGGTAAATTGTTTCGTAGATCCATTGGATTAGGTACAGTGGGGTAAGTCAAGTCGGTGGACAATGTGAAAGGTGGTCGGTCGAAAGGCCAGACATAAGAGTATCACAACTAGAAGGGACTGATAGCGGCGAAGATCGATTGTCATCTTTTACATCCCAGTATACAGAGCATGACCTGAAGGGGGTGGAAATATCTCCCTCAACAGCTGGAGGTAGTAAAACAACTCCGTGGAGGGTGTGAGAGTTAAAAAGGGTAAGGCATATATTTTGGAGGAGAGACCCAAGAATTTCGGTTAGGGTGGTGTCTAGCGACATCAGGCGGATGCCCAAGCAGGCTAGTTTTATGGGTTATTTCAGTAACTCTTGGCATCCTAGTCTTTTTATACGCAATTAAGGGGACAGGCTTTGTATAAGAAACGGGGAGGCGCCTAACGTTAGATTTAAGAGAGGTATTTATGTTATGTCCCCTTATTCTTAGGAGTCCTTAGGTTTAATTTTGGAAGTATAGTAGCGTCCTGATTAGGAGAAGTAGGGGCAGGTATTGTTGTTTATTAGGTAGGTTGAGGACTGACGGTTAGGGCATGTAGCACGTTTCATGTGAGAGTTTCTCTTAATTTGAACCACTGTCATGTTATCTTTAGGATAATGTTGGTGTATTACAGAAGTGCAACTGACTCGTAGTTTACAGCTAAATGGGCATACGATCACGGGACAACTCTTTCATTCATGGGACAGATATTTAGACTAGTTAACATGGGAACCTAAAGAAGGTGTCATTAACGCTTGCTGTTTTTGCATGGAGGGATTTTGCGGGCCGGTGTAGAATTCTTTTGAATGTTTTGTTTTTGGAAAATCCCTCCATGTTTACATATTTTTGCTATGACCTGATGGACTTTTTCTCTTGACATTTTTGGTATTTTATTTGATTCCAATTTGAGATTTTACCATTGTATGTTGTTATTCTTTCCATATTTTGTACTTATATTGAAGTTTTTGTGTTTGCTTCTGAATTGTACATATATTGTTTAAATTTGATATAATATGGCTACCGCCACATTTTGGATAGACGCGGTGGCTGCTGGACTTAGTGTCACTTACTAGCTATTGTAATAGATACTCTACGGAGTAATTTAGTCCTGGAAGAAACATAAACATCGTAAGCCTCTGTATTTCCATTTTATAACAATATAGAGACGGTTTTCTCCTAGAATTTTTGGCCTTCTGATTTGGCTGGGACCTGGATCTAGGAGTATCGTACCGGTGTGTTTCTATTGGACGCGATTAGGACAGCCGCCAGCGAAATAAATTCTACAACTAGGGTTTATGGATACCAGCAGCTATAACATTATCAGATTGCAGATCAGTTAGTTGCAATGTGGAGAATAATAAGGATAAAATTCTGATGCTTAAATGAATAAACTTTCAGAACTAAGTAATATGTAGGTGACTTAGTTTGTTAATTGGTAGTGAAGATTGTGAGAGAGGACCGGAGTGTAAGCAAGTTAGAGGAAACAGAGATAATAGGCAAGACAGATCAATAAGTGATCTGAGCAGATGGCAACGATAACAAGATATGCATCATGAACAGCTTGTCCAAGAGGGAGATGATAGTCCGTATGTGAGTACGTGATTATCAAGTCTCTTGTTAAAGCTGTCCATTGAGGGGGCCTGTGGTCATCGGCTGGGAGAGCATTCCAAGTTGCGACGACTTACAATGAGGAAACATGTGTACGAATCTGAGTATTCT